CCAGTTCATCCCTGGTGGGGATGGTTTGATGAGACCCTCCTCCTGGGTGGGGCTCGAGGAAGGAAGAGGAGAGGGGAGGACAGAGGCCTGGGCAACGGGCAGCTCTGGCCGTCTTGCTGTCAGCCCAGTTGATGCTGCAGGGGTGTGTGGGCTGTGTGGGAGCTGGGGGCGGGGGCAGGATTGGGGAAACAGTGGTAGAAAGTTCCCCTCAAACCACGTTTGCCTCTGCAGCCACCATTCCTACAGAGGGGAGGTGACCTTAAAGGTTTAAGGTCAGGTGGGAGCCCCTGGGGGACTGGGGCTGAGGGTCGAAGATCAGGTGACCACAGAGAGAGGATCCTTTCCTGCGTTCGTTCATTCCAAAGACAGAGTCCCAGACTGTGCAGTGGTGACTCCAGTCTGGGCCCTGAGGAGCCCACCATCTAGGGTAGAGGTCACTGCCCAGGCCAGGCGGTCAGGGTATATTGGGGGTAGGGGGAGCCCAGACAAGAGAGGCACTGACCACCTGGGAAGTCCAGGAGGCCCTCACAGAGGAGGTGACGTGGAGCTGGGGCCTTAAAGAGGAGCAGGAGTTTGCTAGTCAAGAAGGAAAGGGTTGTCCCAGGTGGGAGGGGAGCAGAGGCAAATGCCCGGAGGAGAGAGAGCAGGGCTGCCCTTGTTCATCCCACCCACGCGTCCTGTTGAGGACCCCAGATGAGTCAGCCCTGCCCCAGGGCTTCCTAGCCTGATGGGGGAGACATGCTGGGGCCCAGCTGGCTGCAGCCTTTAGGACGGTGACGGGGAGGTGGAGCCAGGGTGGAGGGAAGAGGGCAGAGACCCCCCGTCTGAAGTCATCAGGGTGGTGACTTCAAGGAGAACGGAGCCTGTGCTGGGTCCTGAAGGATGAGCAGGAGGTCGCCAGGCAGACAGAGTGGGAACAGCATTCCAGGCCGAGGGACCAGCCCATGCCAAGGCTGACAGAGACAGCAGGACAGAGGCAGGAACAAGTAAGAGACGGAGGGAGCCGCAGGGAGGGACAGACATTCATAACCTGGGCTGCCAAGCTGGGTGATGCTGGGGACCCAGCAGTGAGTCAGCCCAGGCCTGTCCGCTGATCAGTGGGGAAGGACAAGGGCACAGGTGACCACAGCCCTGCGGGCTCCAGGCTGGATTGGTGAGGAGAGGCTGCCTTAGTTGGCTAGGGCTGCCATAGCAAAGTACCCCCAGATGGGATGGCTTACACGATAGAAATTATTTTTCTCAAAATTCTGGAGGCTGGAAGTCCAAGGTCAAGGTGTCAGCGGGGTTAGTTTCTTCCGAGGCCTCCCTCCTTGGCTTGGGGTGGACGTCGGCTCCCCGGGTCCTCACTTGGTCTTCCCTCTGTGCCTGTCCACATCCCAGTCTCGTCGTCTTACTGGGGACACCAGTCATACTGGATCAGGGCCTAGTCTGAGGCCCTGATCTGTACGTAGGGCCTGATCTCATTTTGGCTTCGTTACCTCTATAAAGATCCTATCTCCAAAGACGGTCGCAGTCTGAGTTACTGGGGGTTAGGCATCCAAGAGAGGATGTCAAGGGTTACAGCTCAGCACACAGCAGAGGCCGAGGATGAGTGTGGGCCCTCTGGGGTGGAGGTGGGGCCCGAGGCCGCCCCGGTCTGTGATCAGGAGGGGCGTTCACCGGCGAGGTGGGGACTGTAGGGCCTGGACCCCTGCCCCCCGCCCCTCGTCAAGCAGAGGGCGATGCCAGCATGACTGAAGAGAAAGGTGCATGAGTGCTGAGAGATGGGTAGCGGAGGGTGACGAGGGTCACACCCTGATGGCCAGGATGGGGAGCCTGGGCTTTTCTTAGGAGGCGGGGAACCGTGGGAGGGGTCATGGCCGGGGAAGGGGCTCCTGGTGGCAGCGTGGTCACTGGCTGGAAGGAGGGGCTGTGGAGGCGGCCGGGGCACGGCTTTCCAGAATGCTGGCAGGGATGTAGGGCCACTCTAGGGTTTGTGGTTGCCTGCAGCAGGGCCAAGGGCTAGGAGATTTGTTTATTTGGCTTTAAAATGTTATTTATTCTTTATCTGGCTGTGCTGGGTCTTCGTCACTGCACAGGCTTGTCTCTAGTTTCGGTGAGCAGGGGCCACTCTCCAGGTGCCATGTGCAGGCTTCTCATTTCAGTGGCCTCCCTTGTGGTGGAGCGCAGGCTCTAGGGGACTCAGGCCTCGGTAGTTAGGGCTCCCAGGATCTAGAGCTCAGGCTCAGTTGTCGTGGCACACGAACTCAGCTGCCCCTCGGCATGTGGAATCTTCTTGGACCAGGGATTGAACTTGTGTCTCCTACAGGTGACAGGATTTTTGGCAGGTGGATTCTTTGCCACTGAGCAACCAAAGAAGCTGAGTCTGGGAGTTTTAGAGCCAGGATCAGGCAGGACTCCTGCTTCTTGATGCCCCAGAGTCAGGAGGCTGGGGGACTCCTTCCTTGGCTTCCTTTGTGACCTCCTGGGTCTCGGGGTCCTTAACCACTCATTGCCCCTTCCCCAGTGCCCGGAAACAGGGCCTGAACTCCGGGAGCATCTGGGCACCTGCTCCCCACCCCAACCTCGTAAGCTTACGGCTTAGTAGGACCATGTGCTGGCTGATTATTATTAGCTTGTTTTATTTTTTTGTGTGTGTGTCAAAACATAACATATAGTAAAACGCTCAGGTTTTAAGTGTACAGTTTGATGAATTTTTGCGTATGTACAGACCACCACCCCAAACCACCAAACAGATCACCTCCCAGGACATTTCTAACCCTCTGAAGGCTTCTTCACACCCTTTTCAGGTCAGCACCCCTCAAAAGGTGCCCACTAATCTGACCTTAATCACTTGAGGTCATCGTTCCTGTTTCTGAATCTCCCTTAATTGGAGTCCTGCTGTCTGTCCACTTCTGTGTCTCACGTCTTTCCCTTGGCAGCAGGTTTGCAAGATTCAGTGTGTGTGATGCAGGAGCTGGTTCTTTTCTAGGCTGTGGGGTATTTCGCTGTACAGACGTACCAATGTGTTTATTCGTCCCCGGTTAACGGGCCCTTGAGCTGTTTCCAGTGGGGGAGGGGGGAGCCATTAGGAAAGGGCTGCTGCCCGGAACACATGTGCCCGGGGTGGTGGTGGGCAGGACACTCCTTCCTCTTAGGTGAATGCTGGCAGAGGATGTGCTGGGAAGTGGCACCTCTCTTAAGTTTCCTGAATTGTGCTTGGATGGATTTACACCCGCGTCAGCAGTGTGTGCCCTGGCTTTTTCCCTTTTTTTCCCTTTGTCGGCGCCCGGCCTTCGTTGCTGCGCGGGCTGCTCTCTAGTTGTAGCGCACAGGCTTCTCATTGCGGTGGCTTCTCTGGTTGCGGAGCATGGGCTCGAGAGCCCAGGCATCAGTAGCTGTGGTGCCTGGGCTTAGTTGCTCCGAGGTGTGTGGGATCTTCCTGGATCACGGATCAAACCCGTGTCCCCTGCACTGGCAGGCGGATTCTTTACCACTGAGCCACAAGGGAAGCCCTGAGCTGGTTTTTTAATCAGGAATTTCAAATCAGAGTGGCATTCCTTGTCTAGTGACCCTCAGTTGCAAAATATCTGGACTTCTTTTTCAGTTGCAGAGGCTCTTTCAGGTCTCTCTTTTCTAGCTGGCCACCTTTAACTATCTTGGACGCAGAGCACGCTAGCGTTGGATGGCTCCTTTGATAGAACGGGGTTTTGGTGGGGATTTGGAGTGAGTTGTGAGATGTTCGGGTCAGAGTCAGGGTCGGGAGTAAGGTATGAGGCCAAGCAGGGAGTCCAGGTTAGATGAAGGACTTGGGCCATCTGGATGAGAGCTGGGGATCAGTGTGGGTAAGAAAAGTGAGAATGGGTCAGTCAGAAACCCAGACTAGGAGTCTAGGACCAGGGAGGGCTGGGTTTGAATGGCTCTCAGGGTGAGCCTGGGTTGGAGTCACTGTGGAGATGAGGTGGAGGGGATCAGAACGGGTTCATCAGACTGTAACGGTACTGATTAGAAGCGGGAGCCCCAGAGTCACGAGGACCCCCGTCTGACCAGAGTGCCTCTGCTGTCTCACGGGGCTCTTGGGGAGCTGCCGTCTGCCTGGAACCTCAGTTTTCTCCCCTGTAAAATGGGGGTAATACTGGCACCAGCTGCCAACGTGAGCTCTGAGTCATATCTTGCGCTGTGCTGGCAGCACTCACCGTCCCGTGACCAGAATCGGAGCGTTGAGAGCATGGGGTTGTTTCCCTTGCTCCAGGTCCCCTGTTTGCCACCCCCTTCCATTTCCTGGGCCTGCGGGACTGTAGGGTGGGATGGGTTTGGTAGGGTGGGGGCTCCAGGTTGGATTAAGGGCTGCAGTCCCAGGTAAGGCTGCAGTCTAGGGTTAGGTCTGAGGACGAGGTCAGGGCAGAAGCAGATGGGGTTGGAGTTGGAGTCACAGAGATGAGAGAGGGGCCGCCCAGCCTGAAAGGGAGGCGGAGGGGGGAGTGGACGGGAAAGTGGTGGGCCGGGGAGGGGGCCTGGGGCGCTGAATCACACCGGAGATCTGAGGACTCGCTCCCGGGGGATGCTGCCGTCCCTCACACCTCCCAGGCCCTACTCAGAGTGGAAAACATGCCTCACCGAAACCTGGTGGGGCAGGATGGGCGCCTGGGCGGCCGCTGCGAGGAGGCCCAACACTGAGTCGCTCCTTCGGAGCATCACCAGCCTCCCCCAACCCCGGGCGGCCAGAGCCTCCCCAGGACCAAGGGCCAACCCCACCTTCCGCCCTGCCCCAGGTCTCTCGGGGGATTGGAGGTGACCCTCCCTGTGCCACCTTTCAGAGGGGCCAAGAGGCTCCTCTCCTGTCCTACTGGTGGAGGGCAGGGGCCTGGAGCAGAGGGCATGTCTCCCAGAAAGAGACACTTGCAAGGTGGCAGGGAGCGTTGGGGTATGGGGGGAGAGGCTGGGTGGTGCTGGGGGAGCGGCCCCAGAGCCCTACTGGCTTCCGCACCCTTACCCCACTGGCATCCCTCATCTGTCCTCAGAAATAAGAATGTCTAAGCCCCTGGAGGCCGAGAAGCAAGGTCTGGACTCCCCGTCAGAGCACACAGGTAAGTGGGGAACGGGGCAGGGAGGGCAGAGGTTACCACGGGCGGAAGCAGGGGCACGGTGGGGGTTTTAGGGTCAGGGGCTGGTGACAACTCACCCGTCGTCCCTCTCATTACAGACACTGAAAGAAATGGACCAGACACTAACCATCAGGTCAGAAGGCAGCAAATGGGTAGCGGGGAGAGGGGCAGAAGGGAGCAGAGCAGAGCTCTGTGGGGCAGGGGCAGGGTGTCAGAAGTTGCTTCATCTCACTGTTCCCATCGCCCACCCCCACTTGCTCTTTGCAGAACCCCCAGAATAAGACCTCCCCGTTCTCCGTGTCCCCGACTGGCCCCAGCACCAAGGTAAGCCCCGGTCAGAGCAGCCAGGGTGACCGCTCAGGTATGACATTTGGTAGAGGGTCCCGGATGCCTGCTGTGGGCCCGGGGCCTGGCACCTTGGTGACGGGACTCCTCCCGCCCCTTCTCACCCTCAGGCTCCCGCCCCAGGCCTGTGACTCACCAGGGCTCCTTCCCCTTCCCTGGGGGGGTGGGGGTGGCCAGGGAAATCCCCCCCAGAGCCCCAGGGCGATGAACAACAGGAAGCTGAGGGCCCCGCCCCCATCCCAACTTCCCTGACCGAGCAGGGGCCCTCCCCACCCCCACCCCCCAAGGTGCACACTCAGGGCCAGGCCGGGAGTGGGGGGCAGGTAGGCGGGTCCAGCCACGGTGCTGCAGGGGAGGACCGCAGGGAGGCCGGCAGTGGCCAGCTGGAGCAAACCCCACATCCAGACGGGGCCTGCTGCTGGGCACAGCTGGGCTTCAGGGGGTGTCTGGTGCCCGGGTCTCCACCCTCCAAGTCTGGTGGTGGTGGCCGGCCGATCCAGAGGCCTGAAGATGGTGCAGGGGCAGAGGGGGCCCGGGCAGGACTCCTGACCCTGACCAGTGGTAGTCGGAGGACAGGGTGGGAGATGCTTTGAGACTGTGGGAAAGTCACCCTCCCACTCTGGGCTCCTTAGTCTCCTCTAACCCGGCAGTGGGGGCGGGCAGATTGGGGGACCTCTTGACAGGTGTCCGGTTCAGAGTGCGCAGACATGACCCAGGGAGAGGGCCCCTGACTCTGACCAGCTTCACTCTGATCTCAAGCTGGGCTCTGGCCTCTGCCCTCAGAGCCAAGAACATTCATCACGCCCCTCCCCGCCCCCAGCCCTGTCCCACCCTCATCTGAATGCCCCACAGCAGCCCTGCTTCTCCCCTAGGAGACCAGTGGGGGCCAGGGGAGCAAAGGTCCTCGCTCCCTTCCGCACCAGGTCTCCGTCCACATCTGGTCTGCACTCCCTGCGCTTGCTACTCCATCCCACCGCATCCATTCTGTGTCAGTCTTTCCCTCAGGATGTCAGACAGGTGCACTCTCCACCCTGTATAATTATTTACATCACAATTTTGTTAAATCGGTTCAATTAAAAAAATTTTTATTATGGAAAATGTGAAACAGATACAAAAGTAGAAGGAAGACCATAATGAAAACAAACCTCCAGGTAACCTGTCACTCTGCTTCAACAATGATCAACTCATGAACTGGCTTGCTTTCTCAACAGCTAAAATAAAACTTTTTTTTAATGGAAATTTCATGAATGGAAAACCAGAATCACTTGCCATGGAAATAAAGACAATGACTATTAAAATTACCCAGAGACTCTTGCCTGGTGTAAGGTCTAAACCTGAGACCAGTTCTTTATTTGTTAGAAAGGAAGGTGAGCCAGGGTTGGAAGGTATTAGAGACATCCTTGCACCTAATGAAAACTTTTCTCAGAAGACCGAGAGAGAAGGAAACAGCCCCAAGAAGCCTAGTTTTTAAAAAACCTTTCATTAAAATATGACACACACTTAGATCCTTGGCATACAACTCTGGATTTTCACAAACTGAACACCTGTGTCGTCAGCATCAGATCGAAAAACAGAAGATGACCAGACTTCCAGAAGTCCCTTAATTTCCCCAGGAGGGCAGCCATGGCCCTGGCTTCTAGTTCCGCTGTTTCACACTGCATCCGCAATCCCCTTAGACTCTCTGACACTTGGATCCCACCCCCGGGGCATGGCACTCACTCTCTGTTATTTGGCCTTTCCCCGGCTTCTGTCTGTCTGTCAACTTCAGTCTGTGTCGCAAACGCCATGCACGCTCCTGCCAAGTCACTGTGTTGCCTTGCACAGGTCGCTTTCCCTCTATGGCCCTCCTTTTGCAAGACGTTATTGGGACATTGGGCTGAAGGATGATACCTAATATTCCCCTCTGGGCCCGACAGTGAGACCCATCAAGCCACACACCCCCACCCCATGTGTCTTTTACCAACAGACTTCTCAGGCCAGCCCACCATTGTCTGGCTTTTTGTGTGGGAGGGGAAGAAGGCAGGGACCTAGAGACCACTGTAAGCTGGTCTGTCACACGTGGTGGATGCAGATGCATCTGTATACTCCATAGAGAGATGAGGAGGGGCTCAGCGGACTCTGGGGTGGAGGCTGACAGCTGGCAGACCTGAACCACATCTGACCTGCAAACACCCTTTGCTGACCCTGCCGTTTCTTAGGATTTTACTGGTAGGAGCAGAATGGGCTGGTTAGGCCCCCTCAGGCAGGCGGGCCTGCTCTTTCCAGCCCACTCTGTCCACACCTGCCCAAATCACCCACTTTGCGTCATCTGCCTGTTTCCTTAGGCTTTACTTGGTGACCCATATTCTAAGGCGGTGATTTTTCTCTAATACCTTAAGACCCTTTCTTCCAACAAAGTCTTGTTCCACTGGACAGACAAGAGATGTACTTTGCGCTAAAGCAGATGAGGGATATGCTACCCAGAACCCTTGTGTCCCCCAGGCATCATTTCCCATTTGACACATAGGGAACTGACCCCCAAGAGGGTAAAAGTACTCTCCAAAGGTGACCCCCTCCTGTTGGGAATTTGGGTGCAGAAGGTGTGTTAACCTTTCTGACCGATGTGGAAACAGGCTAAACTGAGCGGTTAGCAGGCCCCTGCAGACCTCGCCCCCGCCCCCCAGTCTGCTCCTCTCCGTGCGAGTGCCGGGCTGGCGTTGCCACACACGTGCCCTCTTTTTGGTTCGCAGGTGGGCATTCTCTCTGGCCTCCACTTAACATTCTGGGGTCCCGGACCCTGCCTCTCTCCCCCCCAGATCAAGGCTGAAGACCCCAGCGGCGACTCAGCCCCAGCAGCACCCCCGCCTCCGCAGCCGGCTCAGCCACACTTGCCCCAGGCCCAACTCATGTTGACTGGCAGCCAGCTAGCCGGAGTAAGTACTGGGGCGCACAGGGACGGAGGACGATGTGGGGGGTGAGGGGAAACAGGCCAGCCGCTTCCCATCTGTTACAGGACCCACGGTGGCCTGGGGTATCCCGCCAGTCCCACGGTCACTCTGTCCACGCCTGCCTCTTCTGCCTGGTAACCCGCTTGGCTCAAGGCGCCAACTAACCCCTCTCTGCCTTCTCTGCTCCTCCCACGCTCCTCCTCCGGCCCCGCCCCGGCCCCGCCCCCCCCGCAGCTCACGGCCCTGATGCCGGCTCAGCAGCAGCTCCTCCTGCAGCAAGCGCAGGCCCAGCTCCTGGCCGCCGCCGTGCAGCAGTCCAGCGCCGCCGCCGCCGCCGCCGCCTCCACCTCCTCCTCCTCTTCCTCCTCCTCCTCCTCCTCGACCTCGCAGCCCCCAGCCTCCTCCTCCTCCGGGGGAGGCGACCTGCCACCACCACAGTCTGCCAGCCAGCCCCCGGGAACCCCACAGCTCACCCTGTCCCAGCCCATCCAACTCACAGCACAGGTAAGGGCGGCCCCCAGGGGAGCACCCTCCCCCGGCCGAGGACCCGAGACTGTGCAGGAGGCTGGCTGGTCCCCGGGTACCATTTACCATTCTGACCCCAGCCACCGGCCAGGCAGTCCCCTGGCAACCCTAGGAAGCTTTGGGACACTCTGCCACCCATCATTGGGGTGTAGAGCGAGGCTTGGAGGGAGGACACCCACCACGTGATGGGAGTGCCTGACTCCCCAATTTCTGTGCACCTCGCTGAGGGGGCCCAGCCACCTGGGAGGCTGACACGTCATCCTCAGTTTACAGCAGAGGAAACCAGGGGTCACCTCAGTGAGCAGGACCTGTGTGTGGGCCATGAATGAAAGGCTGAGACTTAGAATCAGTGTCCCCACATCATGTCCCCTGGCTCATCCAGTGAGACCCTCTTTCAGAAAGAGGTCCGTGATGTATGGGTCAGGAAATGCCGCGTTCTCTCTCCCAATTCTACAGACTTCCAGTCTACGTGGAATCATGCATGAGGGGCCATATTAGCGTCTAGGCCTGGCATAACAAAGTATCACAAATGGGGTGGCTTAAAACAACCAAAATGCATCATGTCAGACCAGAAGTCCAAAATCAAGGTGTCAGCAGAGCTGGGCTCCCAGTGAAGGCTCTAGGGGGAATCCCTCTTTGCTTCTTCCAGCTTCTGGTGGTGTGGGAAATGGCTGACTTTCTCATAGATGGATGACTCCAATCTCTGCCCCCGTCATTGCGTGGCCATCTTCTCTGTGCATTTCAGTCTCTGTGTCCACGTTTCCTCTCCTTGTAAAAGGACAGCAGTCATTGAATTAGGGCCCACCCTAATAAGCTCATTTTAACTTGGTCATATCTGCCAAGACCTCGTTTTCAAACCAGGTCGTAGTTACAGGCACCAGGGGTTAGAATTCCCACCATATCTTTTTAGGGAGCACAATCCAACGGGGGCAGTGGCCAGTTCAACTGTTGGCAGTGGCCCGCAGACTTCCCGTAAGGATGGCTGACAGGCACTGAGTAGCAGCCAGGCAGGCCTCCTCTTTTGACAGGCTGCTCTCTGGTGCACCCTTCCTTCCGCACCTGCCGTGTCCCCCACCTGTGCTGTTCACCTTGTTTCCATATAGCATTTGAGTCTGTGACCCGTATTGTAGGACAGCCAAGGGCCTTAGGAAACCTTAAACCAAGGGACCCTGTGTAACTGCCCACAGCCCTGAGTTTCTCACAGTGACTCTTCCTGGGATCCTCCTCTCTCCCCGCCCCTTCCCAAGGAATCCCCCAGGTGGCCTGTGCTGTCTGCACCAGGGAGCTGTCCAGCACCCACGAGGCTGTTCCCTTGGCAGCAGTTAGCCTCTGATGGACCGGCTCCACTGCTGGCCGGCACTCTTATTTGGGGCTGTCCTTAATATGGAGCGCCTTTCTGCCTTCTTAGCGCTTCCTGCCACTGGCTTCTCAGCAACACAGAGCAATCTGGCCTCACTGTTCTATAGTGACTTTCCCAAACAGATCCTCCCAATGCCTGGCTCGCCACTGTTGCCCCATGTAGTCTGTTGGACATGGCCTTGGTACCAGGCATTGTGCTAACGCGACCGCCTTGAACCCACAGACCCTCATCATGCCTGAGGCTCTGGGGGAGTGAAGTGACTTCACCTGCCTCAGGTCATACTGTGAGCTCAAGGGACATTGCCAGCCCAGGAGTCCAGAGCTGTAACCACATGATCTGGGGCTGCTGCCCCTCTCTGGCACCCCTCCCTCCCCAGCCACCAGAGACCCTTGTGATTTGCCTTGCAGCACATACCTCTCTTCACTGGGCAGTGCTGAGGCTCAGGGCTCCTCACTAGGCTCCTCCAATCTCTGTCCTCCTTTCTACCTGGAAGTCAGCCCCCTCTCTTTATCTGGTCAGCTCCTCCTCTTCCTTTAAGTTCCAGCTCAGGAGCCTGTGCCTCCAGGAAGTCTTCCATGACTTCTTTCTCTCGCTGGTTTGATTTTCTGCTTTCTGATCACCAAAGGCTGTGTGAAAATAGGCCCTCGAAAATCTCTGTTGAAGGAACACAGACTATAGGGAGGGCAGAGGGACAGGGCAGCCTAGTGCAGACCCAGCCAGGCCATCAGCCCCAGGAGCAGCAGATGCTCCTGTTCAGCCAGCGCCTCCAGACTCTCCACGGACCCCAGGAGCAGCAGGCTGGCCCTCTGCCACCCGCTGTCCTGCCCGCACCCTGATTCTCCAGGCCTCCTCCTGCCCAGCCCTCTCCTCTCACTTTGCCTGCCCCAGCTTCCCCCAGTTCTGATCTTCATCTGTCCCCTGCGAGTGCCAAGCTGAGCTGAGGTGGTTTCCTGGGAGTTCCATCACCCTGTGATCTCACTTCCCCAGCAGACAAATGTTTATCCCGGGCAGCACAGGAGCAGGGAACCGAGCTGCCTGTGCCCAGGCTGCGGTGGGCACCACGTCCTCCTGTGCTCACTGCCCCGCTGCAGTCACAGCCAGCCTGGCCCGGGCTTGACTCTCTTCCCAGCCTGTGTCTTGTGCATCCCGGGGCCAGTTAACTTCTCACCCCTGCTCAGCTCCGTCCTGCCCTCACTTCACAGATATTTCCCTGTGTCGAGCCATGGCGGGAAGCAGGCATGACTCACACAGAGCCTTGTCCCCCAAGGGGCTCCCAGTCTCGTAGGGAAACAGACACACCAACAAGCCACCAAGAAATGTTTGAGAAGTTCTAAGAAAGTTAAAGGGCTTCCAGGTGGCACCAGTGGTAAAGAACCTGCCTGCCAGTGCAGGAGACCTAAGAGACGCGGGTTCAATCCCTGGGTCATCAAGACCCCATAGAGTAGGGAATGGCAAGCCACTCCAGTATTCTTGCCTGGAGAAACCCATGGACAGAGGAGCCTGGTGGGCTACAGTCCATAGGGTCCCACAGAGTTGGACACGACTGAAGTGACTTAGCACACATGCAGGCAAGAAAGGCAAAAGTCCTTTCATAGTCCTGTCACTTTGAAATTGTATATAAAGTTCAAAGAGAAAGTCCAGCTTCTGTCCCTGTAATGCCAGCTTCCAAAAAGTAATGTCGGTCAGCTTGGCAGGAACCTTCCTTGCATTTTCCTATCTTGAACAGATGAAGAGGTGATTATAATACCATTTTACCACTGCCTTTTTTTTTTTTTGGCTGCACCACATGTCTTGTGGAATCTCAGTTCCCTGACCAGGCATTGAACCCGAGCCCTTGGCAGTGAAAGCAGAGAGTCCTAAGCATTGGACCACCACAGAATTCCCTCTAATACAATCTTACACTCTGTGCAGTCAGCACTGGGCACAGTGCTTTCTACCGAGGGGGCTTCACAGATATTTACTGAATCAATGAGGGATGTTTTGCTGCAGCTTTTCAATCAAGGGTAGGGAAGACATCTCTCCAGGGGAGTCATTCAGAATGCCTGGGGTATGAGAGGCATTGATTGAACATTTATATTCACTGCTAAAACATCATTTTGTGTCTGGAGAGCCTGGGGAGTTGGGGGATGTCCCCATTTCATCTTACGGCCGCAGCAAATAGAGCTCAATAAGATCTTTTAGGCAGGTAGGACCTAGTGAAGAAAGGTGACTGGGAGAAACCTGCTGGGAGTGGTGGGACACAGGAAAAGAAAAGCGGCTGTGCCTGAGGGAATCAGGGCAGGCTTCCCGGTAGAGGTGCCATCTGAACCAAGGTGGGACAGGTAGGAGTTTGCCAGGTGGTTGAGTGGGGGAAAGGGTTCCAGGCATGGGAATGGCAAATGCAAAGTGAGAGAGTAGGGCAGGTTTGGGGAGGCAGTGGGTGGGCGCGAATAAAGGATGAGGTGGGAGGAGGTGTCAGTGCAGCCACAGCCCCCCTCTAGGCAGTTTAAGAGTAAGAGGGAGTATTTGGCTCAGGCCACTGAAAAGGCCCAGCCTAGAACATCAGACCCGGCCCCAGGGATCTGTCTTCCTTTTCACTCCGAGGCAGGCCCAGTGGATACCAGCACTTCTAGCCTTGCAGCCACCGTGCCCAGGGAGATAAAATACACCCATTGTCCAGAGTCATTGTCTCCTGACCCCTGAGAAGGTGGGCTCAGTCCCACCTGGACTACGTGACATGAGAGTGGGAAGGGCAGGACCCCAGGAGGAGATGAGTCCTGCCACTAGAGAAGAGTTGGGGGATGCCAGGTGAGCCCAGGCACCCATCTGGAGGTGTTCAACCATATACCCACAGGCCCCAGAGCCCAGGAGCCAGGCTGAGGCTCACCGGTCACTCCAGGACTCATGGGCTGGGAATCTGTTGTGGTTTGTCTGTCCTGGAATTTTAGCATGAGGTAACATGGAATGTTGGGCTCTGATGGTAAAGAAACTTTCTGCCAGTGCAATCGATGTGGGTTCAATCCTTGGGTCAGGAAGATCCCCTGGAGAAGGGAATGGCAACCCACTCTAGTATTCTTGCCTGGAGAATCCCATGGAGCCTGGCAGGCTACAGTCCATGGGC